TCCCATTGCCTCCCAGTGTCCACGAGGGACACGGCTCCGGGTGTCCCCATGTCCCCTGGGCTCTACCAATGGGGACAAGTGCGGGGGGGACGGGGACGGGGTTGGGGACGTCAGGACCCACCTTGAGTGTCACCGGAGGCCGGGGGTCCCGTGACAATGGCAGGCGCTACCTGACGGACAGCTAGGACGAAGAGAGACAACGGGGGGGTCAAGGGTTGGGGGGGGACCCCATGGTCCCCATTGTTGGGGTGGGGAGGGGGGGCGGACGGACCCCATCCCATGGAGGGGTCCATGGCTGGATCCATCACTAGGGCTGGAGGGGGGAGCAATGGTGGCCTTGGGGGCACATTGGTGGCCCCGTGTCCCTCTGGTGTCCGGTGTCCCATATGGGGGGGGAGCATATACGTCCGTGCCCCCCAATGGGTGGCCCTATTGGGGGTGTCCTTGTATGGGGGGGTAGGGGGGCACGCTTTGTGCCCCCCCCCCTCCACCAAGTGGTCCTGACCCCCCCCCCCCCCAAAGGGGACAATGTCCCCCCCAAGGGTGGCTCTGGGGGTGACCCCTGCCCCATAGAGGGGGCCCAATGTGGGCCCCCACCCCCCCAGGGGTGGCCTCATCCCCATAGGGAGGAACCAATGTCCCCACAGGGGGGGCTCTGTCACCCCCTCCCTCCCGGGGGGGCTGTGCCCCCCCCCACCGTGTCCTCTTGGTGTGACCCTGTCCCCATAGGGGTCCGGTCAGGTCCCCATGCCCCCCTCCCCCCCCCCGGGGTGTCTCTGTCCCCCTGTGCCACCCTCATCCCCCCCCCCCTCACCAAGGGGCCACCATGGGTCCCCTCCAGGCAGCCCCTTGTCCCCTCTAGGGGTGGCCCTGGGCCCCCATAAGTGACCATAGAACCCCTATAGGTGACCATAGACCCCCCCATAGGTGACCATAGAACCCCTATAGGTGACCATAGACCCCCTCATAGGTGACCATAGAACCCCTATAGGTGACCATAGACCCCCCCATAGGTGACCATAGAACCCCTATAGGTGACCGTAGACCCCCCATAGGTGACCATAGAACCCCTATAGGTGACCATAGACCCCCCATAGGTGACCATAGAACCCCCATAGATGACCATAGACCCCCTCATAGGTGACCAAACCCAACCCAGGGGTGCCCGGATCCCAATGAGGGTCCCAATAACCCCCCATGGGTGCCCATAGACCCCCAATAACCCTCCCATAGGCACCCATAGTCCCCCAATACCACGCCCCATAGACCCCAATAACCACCCCATGGGCACCCATAGACCCCAATCACCACCCCCATGGGCACCCATAGACCCCGATAACCACCCCATGGCCCCCAGTCCCCCTTCCATAGACACCCATAGACCCCAGTAACCCACCCTATAGACCGCAATACCAGCCCCATACACCCCAGTAACCACCCCCATAGGCACCCATACACACCAATACCGCCCCCATAGGCAACCATAGACCCCAATACTTTCCCCATAGACCCCAATAGCCACCCCCATAGACCCCAATAACCCCCCATAGACCCCAATAACCACCCCCATAGGCACCCATAGATCCCCAATACCACCCCCATAGACCCCCAATAACCACCCTCATATACCCCAATATCCACCCCCATACACCTCAATAACCACCCCCATAGACCCCCAATACCACCCCCATAGACCCCCAATAACCACCCCATACACCCCAATAACCACCCCCATAGACCCCAATACCACCCCCATAGGCACCCATAGACCCCAATAACCCCCCATAGACTTCCAATAACCACCCCCATACACCCCAATAACCACCCCAATCCCCCCCCCACTTTCCTTCCCCCCTCCCTCCCCCCACCAGCGCAGTGTTGGGGGATGCGGACGCGACACGTTGTGGGGGTGTGGGGGATGGAGGGATGGGGGTGTGGGGGGGATGGGGGGGGGGGGGGGCAGCTCAATGACATTGTAATTTCCACCTGAGCGTCGAGCAGCCGCCGCCGGGCCTCGGCCGGGTCGTGGGCGCCCAAGTGATCCCTGCGCAGCTCCTGCTCCACCAGCATCAACCTGCGGGGCCAGGCTTCACCGGGGTCATGCTGCCACCCCCCCCCCCGCGGGGGGGGGCACGGGGTGGGGGGAGGGGGGTGTAACACCGGGGAATTCCCCCAACCCCCCCCCACCCCCACCCCCACCCGCCATGGGGATACCCACCCCCAAGAACAGACCGGCGGGGGGGGGGGAGGGGGGGGGGGGCGGAAGGGGGGGGGAACAATGGGGAATCCCCAACACCACCCCCACCCCCCCACCAACACCCCCACCACCCCCCACCAACACCCAATGATAACCAATGGGGAGGGTTATGGTTATGGTTAGGGTTATGGGTATGATTGTGGTTATGGTTAGGGTTAGGGTCAGGGTTAGGGTTATGGTTATGGTTATGGGTATGGTTAGGGTTATGGGTATGGTTGTGGTTATGGTTAGGGTTAGGGTTAGGGTTAGTGTTATGGGTTAGGGTTAGGGTTAGGGTTATGGTTAAGGTTAGGGTTAGGATTATGGCTATGGTTAGGGTGAGGTTTAGGGTTATGGGTAGGGTTATGGTTAGGGGTTGGGTTATGGTTAGGGTTATGGTTATTGTTAGCAGTATGTTTAGGGTTAGTGTTAGAGTTATGGTTAGGTTTGTAGTCGCAGTGATTGTTAAGATTAAGGTTAAGGTTAGGTTTAGGCACTGGGGAATCCCCCCCCCCCCCAAACCATTCCATACACATGGTGATACCCCCCATCCCCAGCCAATGATTACCAATGGGGAGGGGAGGGTGAGTGTGGTATCCCTTTGGACGTGTGGTTATAGCCCTAAGGGATGCCTCATAGGGATACCCTATGAGGATGCCCCATAGGGCTACCCTATAGATATACTGCATAGCGATGCCCCATAGGGATACCCCATAGGGATACCCCATAGGGACATGGGGGCACCCCATAGGGATACGCCTTACGGACATGGGGACAACACATAGGGGTACCCCATAGATATGCCCTATAGGGACATTGGGGATACCCCACAGGGATGCCCCATAGGGATACACCATAGGGGCACAGGGACACCCCATGGGGACAGCCCCTCGGGGATGGGATGTGATGGGGGAGTGGAGACAACTCTGGGGACATCCCATAGGGACACCCCACAGGGACATGGGGACGCCCATAGGGATACCCCATAGGGATACCCCATGGGGACACTCCGTAGGGACACCCATAGGTATACCCCATAGGGATACCCCATAGGGACATGGGGACACCCCCTGAGCTCACTCTGTTCATGGGGACCCTCCCCCTTCCCCCAGGGGCACTGCAGGGACACCCCGGGTGATGGGGACAGGCCTGGGGGCACCCACCCAGCACCCAGTGCCCAGCACCCAGCCCCACGCAGCCCATGTCTAGCTATGGCCAGGTACCCACCATGGCCCCCTGTGTCCCCTTCTGGCCTCAGATCCTCCATGTCCCTCTATGTCCCCATATCCTTCTATGTCCCCATGTCCTTCTGTGTCTCCATGTTCTTCTATGTCCCTTGTCCCTTTATGTCCTAATGTCCTTCTGTGTCCCCATGTCCTTCTGTGTCCCAGTATCCCCCCTTTGTCCTCAGATCCTCCATGTCCATCTATGTCCCCTATGTCCCCATGTCCTCTATCTCCTATGTCCCTATGTCCTGTATCCCCTATGTCCCTCTATGTCCACATGTCCTCCTCTATCTCCTATGTCCCTCTATGTTCCCCTGTCCTCTATCTCCTATGTCCCTCCATGTCCCCATGTCCTCCCCTATCCCCCCACATCCCTCACCCCTCTACATCCCCCCCATGACCCCCAAACCCCACCGCGTGTCCCCGGCGTCCCCGGGGGGCCGGGTCCCTTCCCTCACCTGCCGATGATGCTCTTGATCTGCGAGTCCTTCTCGGCCTGCTGCTGGCGCAGGCGCTTCTCGCTCTGCTCCAGGCGGTGCTGGTACTGGAGCAGGATGCGGCTCGTCTGCTCCTCCTGCGACACCAGGCGCCGCTCGTACTCCTCCAGCTTCCGGTTGGACATGTGCAGCCGTTCCTTCAGCGAGTGGATCTCCTCCTCGTACTCCTTCACCTGCCACAGTGCACACTGCAGAGCGCCGCCGGCACCCCCGAAGGGGGGACAGCCCCAAAGGGGTCACCTAAACCCATCCATTCCCATCTAAACCCATCCATTCCCATCGTGGTGTCACCTAAACCCATCCGTTCCCATCGTGGTGTCACCTAAACCCATCCGTTCCCATCGTGGTGTCACCTAAACCCATCCGTTCCCATCGTGGTGTCACCTAAACCCATCCGTTCCCATCGTGGTGTCACCTAAACCCATCCGTTCCCATCGTGGTGTCACCTAAACCCATCCGTTCCCATCGTGGTGTCACCTAAACCCATCCGTTCCCATCGTGGTGTCACCTAAACCCATCCATTCCCATCGTGGTGTCACCTAAACCCATCCGTTCCCATCGTGGTGACCCCTTAAAGAGCACGGATGACACCATGGTGATACCCAAAGACCATGGAACCATACCATGGTGACACCTAAAACCATGAATTCCCATCATGATGACACCTAAAGACCATGGATTCCTACCATGGTGACACCTAAACACATGGATCCTCACCATGGTGACACCTAAAGACCATGGATAACACCATGGTGACACCTAAACCCATGGATACCCACCATGGTGACACCTAACTCCATTGACCCTCACCATGGTGACACCTAAACCCATGGATTCCCACCATGGTGACACCTAAACCCATTGATCCTCACCATGGTGACACCTAAACCCCATGGATCCTCACCATGGTGACACCTAAAGACCATGGATAACACCATGGTGACACCTAAACCCATGGATTCCCACCATGGTGACACCTAAACCCATTGATCCTCACCATGGTGACACCTAAACCCATGGATTCCCACCATGGTGACACCTAAACCCATTGATCCTCACCATGGTGACACCTAAACCCATGGATTCCCACCATGGTGACACCTAACCCCATTGACCCTCACCATGGTGACACCTAAACCCCATGGATCCTCACCATGGTTCCACCTAAAGACCCCGGATAACACCACAGGAGTCCATCAGCATCATCTGGCACACGGACCCTTGCACCTCCCAAACCACGTTCCACCACGATGCCCCCCCCCTTGTCTTTCCATGCCCACCCCCTTCCCACCCGCACCCCTATGGCTGTGCCGAAGGTCCCTACCCGGTCCAGCCGGCTCTCGTCCATGGACTTGGAGTACTCCTTGAGCTTGTACTCCTCGCGCTCAATGTGGGAGCTCTCGATGTCGGCCGAGAGGTGCGGCATGTTGGACACCCAGGCCACCGTGCGCTCCGCCGCCGGCATCACCGGGTTCAGCGTCGACGGCGTCTGCGAGGCCTTGGGTTGGGGGCAAGGACATGGGTTTGGAGCCTCTTGGGTTGGCAAGCCATGGGTTGGCCCCATGGCATGGCCTCAACGCAGGTACCCAACCGTGTCCGTCCAGCTCCACCGTATCCCCATGTCCGCTCCTATCTCCATGCACCACCATGTCCCTCATCACCCCCATATCCCCCATGTCTTCACTTCCCCATCCCCACCATGTCCCCATCTCCCCCATCTCCCCATATCCCCCATATCCTCATCCCCATCCCCACCACGTCCCCATCTCCCCCCACAACCCCACTTACCCCCCGCATCCCCATCTCCCCATCACCCCCATCTCCCCATCCCCCATGTTTTCATTCCCATTCCCACCTCACCCCCATCTCCCCATCTCCCCCATATCCTCACCCCCATCACCCCCATATCCTCACCCCCATACCCCCATCCCCCCATATCCTCACCCCCATCCCCCCATATCCTCACCCCCATCTCCCCATCTCCCCCATATCCTCACCCCCATCACCCCCATATCCTCACCCCCATCCCCCCCATCCCCCCATATCCTCACCCCCATCCCCCCATATCCTCACCCCCATCTCCCCATCTCCCCCATCACCCCCATATCCTCACCCCCATCACCCCCATATCTTCTCCCCCATCACCCCCATATCTTCTCCCCCATCACCCCCATATCCTCACCCCCATCTCCCCATATCCTCACCCCCATCACCCCCATATCCTCACCCCCATCACCCCCATATCCTCACCCCCATCTCCCCATATCCTCACCCCCATCTCCCCACCTGCTTCGTCACCGGCGCCTTCATCCCCGCCACCGACGCCTCCTTGGCCAGGGAGGGTTGCCTGGACCGGGGGGGGCCGTAGGCCGGCTCCGGCGATGCCAACAGGTTCCCGCTGGCCGGCCGGGGCTTGGGGGGCACCCCGAGAGCCGACGGCCCCGCTCCCCCCCCTTTCCCTGCCCTTGCCCCCCTTGGGGTGGGAGGCGGGGGGGCCCCGATGGTGATCTGGGGGGGGGCCAGGCTGTCCTGCAGGGACAGCTGCCTCCGCCCGAAGTCCCCCCCGGGCCGGCCGAACTCATCGCTGTAGCTGTGGCTATGGGTGATGTGCTTGGAAGGCGGAGGAGCCACCAACTCCTCGCTCTTGCTGTACCCGTGCAACGGGGGGGCGAAAGGTCCTTCCCCCCCCACGCCGGGCTCCGGACCCCTTAAGGGTCCATCGGCGGCCAAATGGAACAAAGGGTTCTGGAACGAAAGCGGGACCCGCAATTGGGGACCGCCGGGGTCCGGCACCCCCAAACGAGGAGGGGCCAAGCTGGAGGCGCTGCCTTGGGACAGGCGGCCGGGACGGAGCCCTCCTCCTCCTCCTCCTCCTCCTCCTCCGCCTCCTCCTCCTCCTCCTCCGGCTCCCCCCGGGGCCGGGCCCCCGGCTGCCAGCAGCTCTGCGGGCAGGCTGGGGACGCTGTCGACGCGGCCGTCCTGGAGGTCGAGCATGGAGACGCTCTTGCCCACCCCCAGGGCCCCCCGGCCGCCCTCGGGCTCGGTCAGGTCGGAGCTGCTGGTGCAATAGGCAGGGGAGGAGCGGGCGAGAGGGGGGCGGCTCAGGACCAGCACCTCCTGAGGACCCTTCTCCTGCGGCGGGGAGGGCAGGCGGGGGACCTCCATGGAGCTGCGGGGATGGGAGGGATGGGGGGGGGGGGTGTCAGGTGCAGGCAAGCTCCGAGCCTGGGTCCTGTTCCGTCTCCATCCTCATCCCATCCTTATCTCCATCTCCAGACCTATCTCCATCCTCATCCTCATCTCCATCTCCATCCTCATCCCATCCTTATCTCCATCTCCAGACCTATCTCCATCCTCATCCTCATCTCCATCCTCATCCCATCCTTATCTCCATCTCCAGACCTATCTCCATCCTCATCCTCATCTCCATCCTCATCCCAACCTTATCTCCATCTCCAGACCTATCTCCATCCTCATCCTCATCTCCATCCTCATCCCATCCTTATCTCCATCTCCAGACCTATCTCCATCCTCATCCTCATCTCCATCCTCATCCCATCCTTATCTCCATCTCCAGACCTATCTCCATCCTCATCCTCATCTCCATCTCCATCCTCATCCCATCCTTATCTCCATCTCCAGACCTATCTCCATCCTCATCCTCATCTCCATCCTCATCCCATCCTTATCTCCATCTCCAGACCTATCTCCATCCTCATCCTCATCTCCATCTCCATCCTCATCCCATCCTTATCTCCATCTCCAGACCTATCTCCATCCTCATCCTCATCTCCATCTCCATCCTCATCCCATCCTTATCTCCATCTCCAGACCTATCTCCATCCTCATCCTCATCTCCATCTCCATCCTCATCCCATCCTTATCTCCATCTCCAGACCTATCTCCATCCTCATCCTCATCTCCATCCTCATCCCATCCTTATCTCCATCTCCAGACCTATCTCCATCCTCATCCTCATCTCCATCTCCATCCTCATCCCATCCTTATCTCCATCTCCAGACCTATCTCCATCCTCATCCTCATCTCCATCCTCATCCCATCCTTATCTCCATCTCCAGACCTATCTCCATCCTCATCCTCATCTCCATCCTCATCCCATCCTTATCTCCATCTCCAGACCTATCTCCATCCTCATCCTCATCTCCATCCTCATCCCATCCTTATCTCCATCTCCAAACCCATCTCCATCCTCATCCTCATCTCCATCTCCATCCTCATCCCATCCTTATCTCCATCTCCAGACCTATCTCCATCCTCATCCTCATCTCCATCCTCATCCCATCCTTATCTCCATCTCCAGACCTATCTCCATCCTCATCCTCATCTCCATCCTCATCCCATCCTTATCTCCATCTCCAGACCTATCTCCATCCTCATCCTCATCTCCATCCTCATCCCATCCTTATCTCCATCTCCAGACCTATCTCCATCCTCATCCTCATCTCCATCCTCATCCCATCCTTATCTACATCTCCAAACCCATCTCCATCCTCATCTCCATCTCCATCTCCATCCTCATCCCATCCTTACCTCCATCTCTAGCTCCATCTCCATCCTCACCCCATCACATCTCCAGCTCCAGCTCCATCCTCATCCCATCCCATCCTTATCTCCATCTCTAGCTCCATCTCCATCCTCATCCTCATCTCCATCCCTAGCAACATCTGTCTCCAGAGCCATCTCCTTCCTCATCCCCATCCTATCACATCCTCATCTCCAGACCCACCTCCATCCTCATCCCATCACATCCCCATCTCCATCTCTAGCTCCATCTCCATCTTCATCCTCATCTCTATCTCTAGCTCCATCTATCTCCAGACTCATCTCCATCTTCATCCCATCCCATCCTCATCTCCATCTCTAGCTCCATCTCCATCCTCATTCTCATCTCATCCTTGTCCCCATCTCTAGCTCCATCTCCATCCCCTGACCCATGTCCATTTCCATCCCCATCCCCCATCCCCAAACTCCTTTCATTCCCATCCCATCCTCATCTCCATCTCCATCCCCATCCCATCACCATTCCCATCCCATCTCCATCCCCATCCCATCACCATTCCCATCCCATCCCATCCCATCCCTGTCCCCATCCCATCCCCATCCCACATCGTCCCCATCCCCATCACTCACCTATTGAGGCCCCGCACCATGTAGGACTGGAGGTCAACGGAGCTGTGGGGCAGAGAGTGGGGTGACCACGGGGACCCACAGTGGGAGGTGACACCCCAACTGCGACTGGGGACCACCACAAGGATGTGGGTGATGACAGTGGGGGGACAGGGAGAGGTTCCGTAATGGTGTGGAGGTACCATGATGATGGGGAGGTACCATGATGCTGTTGGGGGTACCATGATGCTGTTGGGGGTACCATGATGCTATTGGGGGTACCATGATGATGTTGTGGGTACCATGATGATATTGTGGGTACCATGATGCTATTGGGGGTACTATGATACTATTGAGGGTACCATGATGATGTTGGAGGTACCATGATGCTGTTGGGGGTACCATGATGCTACTGGAGGTACCATGATGATGTTGAAGGTACCATGATGATGTGGAGGTACCATGATGCTATTGTGGGTGCCATGATGATGCTGTGGGTGCCATGATGATGCTGTGGGTACCATGATGCTGTTGTGGGTACCATGATGATGCTGTGGGTACCATGATGTTGTTGGGGGTACTATGATGATGCTGTGGGTGCCATGATGATGCTGTGGGTGCCATGATGATGCTGTGGGTGCTATGATGATGCTGTGGGTACCATGATGTTGTTGGGGGTACTATGATGATCCTGTGGGTGCCATGATGATGCTGTGGGTACCATGATGCTGTTGTGGGTGCTATGATGATGTTGGGGGTACCATGACGCTGTTGGGGGTACTATGATGCTGTTGTGGGTACCATGATGCTGTTGTGGGTGCTATGATGATGTTGGGGGTACCCCAGTGGGTCCCTGGGGATGGGGCAGGGGGGGAAGGGGGTGTTCCTCACCTGTTGAGGTCACGCACGAGGTAGGGCTGGAGGTCGGCCGAGGGTCCCCGCAGCACCAGCCCCTTGGGGGGCAGGCGCTCGCCCTGGCTGGGCTGCCGCTGCAGGTGGGGGTTGCGCAGGGCCACGCTGATGTCCGTCAGCAGCCGCGGCAGCGGCCCCAGCTTCAGCAGCGCCTCCTGCGGACAGCGACCGCCTGGCACCACCCCCAGTGACCTCCCATAGGGGAGATAGGGGTGGATGGGGCCTCAGGGACCTCCCACTGTGGGACATGGGGGCCTTGGACCGCAGTGAGCACCTCTGGGGGGACATGGACAGGATCTTAATGGTCACACATGGGAGGACATGGATTGATGGGACCTCAATGAACACCTCTGGGGAGACATGGATTGATGGGACCGCAATGATCACACATGGGTTGACATGGGTTGATGGGACCTCAATGACCTCTCCTTGGAGGACATGGATTGATGGGACCTCAATGAACACCTCTGGGGAGACATGGGTTGATGGGACCACAGTGATCACACATGGGTTGACATGGGTTGATGGGACCTCAATGACCTCTCCTTGGAGGACATGGGTTGATGGGACCTCAATGGTCACACATGGGAGGGCATGGATTGATGGGACCTCAATGAACACCTCTGGGGAGACATGGGTTGATGGGACCACAGTGATCACACATGGGTTGACATGGGTTGATGGGACCTCAATGACCTCTCCTTGGAGGACATGGGTTGATGGGACCTCAATGGTCACACATGGGAGGGCATGGATTGATGGGACCTCAATGAACACCTCTGGGGAGACATGGATTGATGGGACCGCAATGATCACACATGGGTTGACATGGGTTGATGGGACCTCAATGACCTCTCCTTGGAGGACATGGATTGATGGGACCTCAATGAACACCTCTGGGGAGACATGGGTTGATGGGACCGCAATGATCACACATGGGTTGACATGGGTTGATGGGACCTCAATGACCTCTCCTTGGAGGACATGGGTTGATGGGACCTCAATGGTCACACATGGGAGGACATGGGTTGATGGGACCTCAATGAACACCTCTGGGGAGACATGGGTTGATGGGACCACAGTGATCACACATGGGTTGACATGGGTTGATGGGACCTCAATGACCTCTCCTTGGAAGACATGGGTTGATGGGACCTCAATGACCTCTCCTTGGAGGACAGGAGTTGATGGGACCTCAATGATCACAGAAGGGAGGGCATGGGTTGATGGGACCTCAATGAACACCTCTGGGGAGACATGGGTTGATGGGACCACAATGATCACAGAAGGGAGGACATGGGTGGATGGGACCTCAATGACCACTCATGGTGGGACATGGGTTGATGGGACACCGATGACCTCCCATGGTGAGACATGGGGGCCTTGGACCCCAATGACCACCTCCAAGGATGACAGATGGGACCTCAATGACCACTCATGGTGGCACATGGGTTGATGGGACCTCCATGATCACACATGAGAGGACATGGGTGGATGGGACCTCAATGACCTCTCATGGTGGGACATGGGTTAATGGGACTCGGTGACCTTCCATGGGGGGGAAATGGGTTGATGGGAGTCAATGACCTCTCCTTGCAGGGCACACATTGATAGGGCCCCAATGACCACTCATGGTGGGACATAGGTGGATGGGACCCCAATGACCTCCCATGGTGCCTCATGAGTAGATAAGCTCCCAAAATGCCCTTTCAGGGCCACCCAGACCTCCAGGACCCCAAGACCTCCCCTGGGTGTCCTCCAAGGGGTCCAGGCTCTGGTCAGCACCCAGGAGAGGCCCCACACGTCCCGGGGGTGGGGGGTACCTTGCTGAGCTGAGACATGACCTCCCAGAGGAGGGCGTGCAGGGTGGACAACTCGCGGCCCAGGTCGATGTAGCCCTCGAAGCTGGTGCTGTTGGTGAGGGTGTCCAGGTTGGAGATCTCATAGAGGAACTGCTGCATGCTGGTCCACTCCAGCTCCAGGAACTCGTTCATGAAGGCCATGTACTCCTCCTTGCTGCCAAACCTGTGGGCAGGAGCTCTTCAAGGCCACCCCTAAGAGCTGTTGTCCCCCCCTCACTGGCCTTGCCCACCGTGCTCTGTCCTTTCTGTCCCCCCCCAGCTTCCTTCCTAAAGCTCCATCTGTCTGTCCTCCATCCATTTGTACAACTTACCCATCCGTCCATCATCCACCCATCATCCATCCATCATCCATCCATCATCCATCCATCCATTATCCATCCATCCATTCATCCATCCACCCATCCATCCATCATCCATCCATCATCCATCCATCATCCATCCATCCATCCATATCCATCTATCCATCATCCATCCATCCATCATCTGTCCATCCATCATCCGTCCATCCATCATCCATCCATATCCATCCATCCATCATCCATCATCCATCCATCCATCATCCATCCATCATCCATCGTCCATCCATCCATCATCCATCATCCATCAATCATCCATCCATCATCATCCATCATCCATCCATCATCCATCCATTCATCATCCATCCATCCATCCATCATCCATCCATCATCCATCCATCATCCATCCATCATCCATCATCCATCCATCATCCATCCATCATCCATCCATCCATCATCCATCATCCATCCATCCATCCATCATCCATACATCATCCATCCATCCATCCATCATCCATCCATCATTCATTCATCATCCATCCATCCATCATCCATCATCCATCCATCCATCCATCCATCATCCATCCATCATCCATCCATCCATCCATCCATCCATCCATCCATCCATCCATCATCCATCCATCATCCATCCATCCATCCATCCATCCATCCATCCATCCATCATCCATCCATCATTCATTCATCATCCATCATCCATCCATCATCCATCATCCATCCATCCATCCATCATCCATCCATCATCCATCCATCCATCCATCCATCCACCCATCCATCCATCATCCATCCATCATTCATTCATCATCCATCCATCCATCATCCATCATCCATCCCTCATCCCTCATGCATCAAACATCATCCATCACCCACCCTCCATCCACCCCCCCACCACCCCCGTCCCTTCCACCTCTCCCCTTTGCCGCGCTCTCACTTGGTGAAGTTGGCCAGGTTCTGGATGACCTTGGCGATGAGGGTGAGGGTGCGGGCGGTCTGCTCGTCCGGGTACTCCTGCATGAGCCCGAAGAGGCTGGGGGACATCACGGCGGGGCACAGGAACCTCAGGAAGAGCGAGGCGCTGATCAAGCGGTCGGCGATGTCCTCGCGGCCCCGCTCGGCGCAGCGCAGCCGCCACGAGGCGAAGACCTCCTTCAGCTCCCTCGGGAACACGCTGCGTGGTGATGGGGCACACACACACACACAATGGTCCAGGACCCACAATGGGGGGGACACCCCCCCCACACACACCCCCCTCCCACCCCTCCCCAGCCCCAAGGACTCACCAATGGGAGTTGACCACCTTGCAGAGGGCCAGCTCGCAGCACATGCGGAGGTTGGCCTGGTGGTCGGCCAAGGTGGAGGCTGAGCACTTCATGGGGTCCACCTCGCAGTTCTCCTCGGACTCGTATAGGGCTCGGATGAACTCACCTGGATGGGGGGCAACAGAGGGGTCCAGGGACATCAGGGACCACCCCACTGACCCACGGCCAAGGCACCGCGATGGGGACGCTACTGTGAGTAGGGTGAACCCAACAATCCCATGGCCACGCCAATGGGGAGATGACCATGCGTTGGTCCCCAAGCTCATCAACTCATCAACCGCTCAACCATCCCATCACCATAGCAACGGGGATGCAGGTTGTGAATGGACCGCCCATGAGAAGGGACCACCCAACCATCCCATCTCCATAGCAATGGGGATGGAGGTTGGGAAGGGACCGCCAATGAGAAGGGACCACCCAAGCACCCCAATGGGACCATGGCCATGCATGGGGACTCTTGGCCATGCTGGGGCCTGGTGGAGCTCACCAATGGCATCCTTGAGGTATTTCTGGCCAATGAGTTTCAGATACTCCTCGATGGCTTTCGTGGCGAGGGTGTTCTCCCGGAAGATGAGGTGCTCCCGGTCCATGAAGCGATCCACCTCCGTCATGGCCATGTCCGACAGGAAGTCCTGCCCATGGCTGTCAGGGCAGCCCCGTGCCCAGACACCCTCCCTGCACCCTTGTGTCCGTCCTCCCTCTTCTGTCCATCCATCCATCATGCATCCATCCATCCATCCATCATCCATTGAACCATCATCCATCCATCATCCATCCATCCATCCATCCATCCATCCATCCATCCATCATCCATCCATCATCCATCCATCCATCAGTACATCATCCATCATCCATCCATTCATCATCTATCCATCATGCATCCATCATCCATCCATCATCCATCATCCATCATCCATCATCCATCATCCATCCATCATCCATCCATCCATCCATTCATCATCTATCCATCATGCATGCATCATCCATCATCCATCCATCATCCATCCAACCATCATCCACCATCCATCATCCATCCATCCATCATCCATCCATCCATCATCCATTGAACCATCATCCATCCATCATACATCATCCATCCATCATCCATCCATCATCCATCATCCATCCACCCATCCATCATCCATCCAACCATCATCCATCCATCATCCATCCAACCATCATCCACTATCCATCATCCATCCATCCATTATCCATCCATCCATCATCCATTGAACCATCATCCATCCATCATACATCATCCATCCATCATCCATCCATCATTTATCATCCATCCACCCATCCATCATCCATCCAACCATCATCCATCCATCATCCATCCATCATCCATCATCCATCCACCCAACCATCATCCATCCATCATCCATCCATCCTCCATCATCCATCCATCATCCATCCACCCATCCATCATCCATCCTTCCACACGCCCACCCAACCGCCCTCCATCCTTCCACCCCTTCCTCCCTCCGTCCCTCCCTCCCTCCCCATCCCCACCTTCGCCTTGCCGGTGCTCTGCAGGATGTGCACCAACGCGCAGGCCACCTCCTCCTTGCTCTTCACGCTCAACACGGGCTCCAACACCGCGCACAGCATCCGGTAGTTATTGGTCACGTACTCGGCGAACTCCTTGTAGAGCTCCATGGGGAGGATGCTCATGGTCTGGAACCTGCTCTTCACCCTCAACGCCGGACACCCGGCCTTGCTCTTGCTCCCGCTGGGCTGGCTGAGCGGGTACCACTGCTCGGCGAAGTGCCTGCCGGTGACGCTGGCGATGGGGATGCTCACCATCCCCACGTAGTTGCTCTTGTCCTTCTTCCTCTTCTTATCCGTGTCCTTGTAGAGGTGGAGCCGGATGGTGCGCACGGCCGGGAGGTTGTTGAACTCGAAGTGCTCGCCCCAGAAGACGTTGTCGGTGCGGGCCTTGCTGGTGGTGCGGGCGTAGAGCATGTCGTCCAGGCACAGCTCGCAGTAGTAGCGCTTCTTGGGGGGCAGGTCCCGCGCCTCGATCACCCACAGCTTCAGGACGTTGTCCACCCGACGGCTGTTGTCCTAAATTGGGGGGGGTGGGGGTGTGGGGGGGTGCGGAGGGGAACGGGACGGGAGGACGTGGGGGGGTGAGGATGTGGGGAGCTCGAGGAGGTGGGGATTGGGTGAGGTGGCCACCGGCCATGGGGATGCCAAGGGGAGAGGCCGGCTGAGAGGGGGCACCAGGAGTAGGGACCACCCTGGGGATGGCACCACCAGTGAGCATCCCCATCCCCATCAATGGGCATCCTCATCCTCACCAGTGAGCATCCCCATCCCCATCAATGAGGATCCTCATCATCACCAGTGAGCATCCCCATCCCCATCAATGGGCATCCTCATCCTCACCAGTGAGCATCCCCATCCTCACCAGTGAGCGTCCCCATCCCCATCAATGAGCATCCCCATCCCCATCAATGGGCATCCTCATCCTCACCAGTGAGCATCCCCATCCCCATCAATGGGCATCCTCATCCTCACCAGTGAGCATCCCCATCCCCATCAATGAGGATCCTCATCATCACCAGTGAGCATCCCCATCCCCATCAATGAGCATCCCCATCCTCACCAGTGAGCGTCCCCATCCCCATCAATGAGCATCCCCATCCCCATCAATGGGCATCCCCATCCTCACCAGTGAGCATCCTCATCCTCACCAGTGAGCATCCCCATCCTCACCAGTGAGCATCCCCATCCCCATCAATGAGCATCCCCATTCTCACCAGTGAGCGTCCCCATTCCCATCAATGAGCATCCCCATCCCCATCAATGAGCATCCCCATCCTCATCAGTGAGCGTCCCCATCCCCATCAATGAGCATCCCCATCCCCATCAATGAGGATCCTCATCCTCACCAGTGAGCATCCTCATCCTCACCAGTGAGCATCCCCATCCTCACCAGTGAGCGTCCCCATTCCCATCAATGAGCATCCCCATCCCCATCAATGAGCATCCCCATCCTCACCAGTGAGCGTCCCCATCCCCATCAATGAGCATCCCCATCCCCATCAATGAGCATCCTCATCCTCACCAGTGACCATCTCCATCCCCATCAATGACCATCCCCATTCCCACCAGTGACCATCAGCATCCGCACCAGCTGACCATTCTTACCCATACCAGTCGACCATCCCCACTCATTGACCATCCTCATCCCACCAGCTGATCATCATCACCACTTGACCATCCCCATCCATTGACCATTCCCATCCCCACCACTTGCCCATCCCCACCAGCTGCCCCCTCACCTTGTTGGGCTTCACAGCCCTCTGCAGGTTCTCGATCCATTTGTCCCTCTCAGCAGCTGAGCGGCAGGCGAAGCACTTGGTCCCAGAAGCCGTGGTCACCTTGAGAGGGGGGGTTGAGTATGGTCAAACCCCCATCGAGCATCCATCATCCATCGTCCATCCATCACCCATCGTCCATCCATCATCCGTCATCCACCATCCATTCATCATCCATCCATCATTCATCATTCATCCATCATTCATCATCTATAATCCATCATCCATTGTCCATCATCTATCATCCATCATCCATTGTCCATCCATCATCCATCGTCCATCCATCATCCATCCACCCATCATCCATCCATCATCCATCCATCACCCATCCTCCATCATCCATCCACCCACCCATCCATCCATCATCCATCATCATCCATCCATCATCCATCATCATCCATCCATCCATCCTCCATCCATCCACCATCCACCAATGACGATGACCGGACACCACGGGGATGGCCGGGGCTCTGGTCCCTACCTCGAAGCAGAACTCCTGGCCCAGGATGCTGCTGTGCACAGCCTTGATGATGGAGTCTTCATCCAGGTTCAGCTCCAGAGCCTCGGCCGCGCTGCTGGGGCTCAGCAGGGACTCGTGCGAATGGGACTCCTTGAAGCTCTGCATCAGCCGGGCCCTGGGTTGGGGCGGGGACAACGTGGGGGGACACCCGGGAGTCACCCCCCCCAACCCCACCAATGGCACCTCTCATGGGGACCCCCCCCCAAGCAAGGCCCCTGGATGTGGGAGTCTGGGGTCACCCCCAAAAGAGGGGACACCCAAAATAGGGGATCCCGGGGGGGGGCATCTGCCCTAAAATAGGGTGATCACAGCATAAGGACCATCACTTGACCATCTCCATCAGCTGACCATCCTCATCCCTATCACTTCACCATCTCCATCAGCTGACCATCCCCATCACTTGACCATCTCTATCAGCTGACCATCCCCATCCCCATCACTTGACCATCTCCATCACTTGACCATCTCCACCAGCTGACCATAATCCTCCCCACCACCTGACCATCTCCATCACTTCACCATCCCTATCCCCATCACTTGACCATCTCCATCAGTTGACCATCCCCATCACTTGACCATCTCCATTAGTTGACCATCCCCATCCCCATCACTTGACCATCTCCATTAGTTGACCATCCCCATCCCCATCACTTGACTATCTCCATCAGTTGACCATCCCCATCACTTGACTATCTCCATCAGCTGATCATCCTCATCCCCATCACTTGACCATCTCCATCAGCTGACCATCCTCATCCCCATCACTTGACCATCCTCGTCCCCATCACTTGACCATCTCCATCACTTGACCATCTCCATCAGTTGGCCATCCTCATCCCCATCACTAGACCATCCCCATCACTTGACCATCCCCATCCTGACCACCTGACCATCTCCATCAGCTGACCATCCTCATCACCATCACTTGACCATCTCCATCACTTGACCATCCTCACCCCATCACTTGACCATCTCCATCACTTGACCATCCTCACCCCATCACTTGACCATCTCCATCACTTGACCATCCCCATCACTTGACCATCTCCATCAGATGACCATCCCCATCCCCATCACTTGACCATCCCCATCCCTATCACTTGACCATCTCCATCAGCTGACCATCCTCATCCCCATCACTTGACCATCCCCATCCCTATCACTTGACCATCTCCATCAGATGACCATCCTCATCCCCATCACTTGACCATCCCCACCACCTGACCATCCTCATCCCCATCACTTGACCATCCTCATCCCCATCACCTGACCATCCCTATCACTTGACCATCCCTATCACTTGACCATCCCCATCACTTGACCATCCCCATCACCACCCCTTGACCATCTCCACCAGTGGACCATCCCCACCCCCACACCCCCCCCCCTTCAGACCGCCGCCGCGCCACCACCGGCGGCTGACGTCGCCGTGACGTCACGGTGACGTCACCCCACCTGTCATGGTCGGCGCTGCGGAAGCGGGGCAGGATCTGCCGGAAGCTGCTGGTGCGGTCGAGCTTGGGCTGGCTCTTGGTGCGCTTGATGGAGCTCTTCAGGCGGCGGCTCAGGAAGCCTTGCTGGGGTACAGGCGGCTGAAGGGGGGGCCCATGGGGGGGCCCGGGGGGGTGGGAAGGGTCCGGGGGGGTCAGGGAAGGTCATGGGGATCAGGGGGGGCCAAGGGGTTTGGGGGGCAAAGGGGACCATGGTGATGTGGGGATGGGTGGAGGAGCTGTGGAGATGGGGATGGGGTGGGGTGGGGGGGGTAGGACCAGGGTGACCATGGTGATGGGGGAGGTTGGACCTTGGTTACTATGTCAATGGGTGGTTGGGGTTACCATGGTGATGGCGGATGTAGGACCAGGGTGACCATGGTGACAGGGGAGGTTGGACCTTGGTTACTATGTCAATGGGTGGTTGGGGTTACCATGGTGATGGAGGATGTAGGACCAGGGTGACCATGGTGACGGGGGAGGTTGGACCTTGGTTACTATGTCAATGGGTGGTTGGGGTTACCATGGTGATGGGGGATGTAGGACCAGGGTGACCATGGTGACGGGGGAGGTTGGACCTTGGTTACTATGTCAATGGGTGGTTGGGGTTACCATGGTGATGGGGGATGTAGGACCAGGGTGACCATGGTGATGGGGGATGTTGGACTTTGGTTACTGTCAATCGGTGGTCGGGGTTACCATGGGGATGGGGGGGGGTAGGACCAGGATGACCATGGTGATGGGGGATGTAGGACCAGGGTGACCATGGTGATGGGGGAGGGTGGACCTTGGTTACTGTCAGTTGGTGGTCGGGGTTACCATGGGGATGGGGGGGGGTAGGACCAGGATGACCATGGTGATGGTGGATGTAGGACCAGGGTGACCATGGTGATGGGGGAGGTTGGACTTTGGTTACTGTCAATCGGTGGTCGGGGTTACCATGGGGATGGGGGGGTAGGGACCAGGGTGACCATGGTGATGGGGGATGTAGGGCCAGGGTTACCACTGTGATGGGGGATGTACGACCAGGGTCAATATGTCAATGGGTGGTCAGGGTTACTATGGTGATGGGGGATGTAGGACCAGGGTTACAATGGGGATGGAGGGGTAGGACCAGCGTTACCATGGCAATAGGTGGTCAGGGTGACCATGGTGATGGTAGTATAGGAGCAGGGTTACCAGAGTGATGGGTGGTGCAGGAGCAGGGTTACCATAGCAACGAGTGATGTAGGAGCGGGGTTGCCATGGTGACGGGGAGCGTGGGAACAGGGTTGCCATGGTGATGGGTGATGTAGGGCCGAGGTTACCATGGAGATGGGGAGCATAGGAGCAGGGCTACCGCGCGACGGGTGGTCACGGTTACCGTGGCGATGGGAAGCATAGGAACGGCGTTACCATGGCGACGGGTGGTGCAGGACCAGGGTTACCATGGCAACGAGTGATGCAGGAGCAGGGTGCTGGGTGCTCGCGCTTGCCATGGCGATGGTTGTATAGGACCCGGGTTGCCATGGCGACAGGGAGCGTGGGAACGGGGTCACCATGGTGACGGGTGGTATGGGGACCGGGGTTACCATAGCGACGGGTAGCATGCGCCAGGGGTTGCCATGGGGACAGGGCAGGTGGGAGCGGGGTTACCATGGCAGCAGGCGTGTGGAGGAGAGGGGAAGGGGCCGTGTGGGATGGGGGTAACTGCGGTAACACGTGTGTGCACGGGGGGGGGGGGGTAACCATGGCAACAGGCATGGGCAGGACAGGGATAACCAAGGTCATACGTGTGTGCAGGATGGGGTGGCCATAGCAACATACGTGTGCAGGATGAAGCCACCATGGCAACATACGTGTGCATGACCAGGGTAACCAAGGTCATGCGTGTGTGCAGGACCAAGGGGGTGACCATGGCAACATACATGTGCATGACGGGATAACCATGGTGACATACATGTGCATGATGCAGTAACCACGGCAACCAACATACGTGTGCAGGACACCGTAACCAAGGTCATACGTGTGTGCAGGACCAAGGGGGTGACCATGGCGACATACATGTGCATGATGGGGTAACCGCAGCACCATACATGTGCGGGACCAGCGTAACCACGGCAACATACGTGTGTGGACCACAATAACTCCAGCAACATACATGTAGCATGATGGGATAACCACAGTGACACCCATGTGCACGATGCAGTAACCATAGCAACATACATGTAGCATGATGGGATAACCACGATGACACCCGTGTGCACGATGCAGTAACCATAGCAACATACATGTCCAGGATGGGATAACCACGATGACACCCATGTGTGCGATGCAGTAACCATAGCAACACACATGTGCAGGCCACGGTAACCACGGCAACACCCGCACGCGGGAGGCTCCGGCAACACGCATGGTGGGGGGGGGGGGGTAACCATGGCGACAGGCGTGTGCGGATGGCGGTAACCATGGCGACAGGCGTGTGCTCACCGAGGGCCGGAAGGGGGGGGCTGGGGGGGCGTCCATGTTGATGCTGTACTGCTTCCCGCCCGGAACGCTCTTCCTACGGGAGCGGCCTCCGTGGTAATCTGGGGACAAGGTGGGGGGGGACACACACATAGAAGAGCATGAGGGGACAAGGGGGGGGGACATGGGGGGGACCCCAACATCCCCCCCCCCTCAACTTCCCATTGAGGGGTCCTGATAGGGATATAGGGGGGCTATAGGGGGTCCTGAAGGGAATGGGGGGTCCCAAAGTTTCTTAGGGGTTCCTGGGGGGGGTTTATGGGGGTCCTGGGGGGGGGGGGATAAAGGGGTGCTGGGGAGGGGGTTAAGGAGGGATAAGGGAGGGATATGGGGGGGTACGAGGGGGTTATGGGAGGTCAATGGGACCCAGGGGTCCCCCAAGTACTGGGAAGGGACCTGAGGCCCCCCCCTTCATTCCCCTTCCTCCCCCCCCAAGCTCCCCAGCAGGCCCCAGGGCCCCGTGTGCCCTCCCCCCCATAACAAGGGACATCCCCATGTCCTGGGGTTCCCCCAAACTCTGCCCCCCCCCCCCCAATACCCTTAACCCCCCCCTTTGGCCTTCATGTCCCCCTAATTCTGCCCCCCCCCAAATCCCCTTTATCCCCCCTCCCCAAATTATGGGGTCCCCTAAACTCTACCCCCCCCAAACCCCATTAACCCCCCTTTGCCCTTGGGCTCCCTTTACCCCTGACCCCCCCAATCTCAGGGCTCCCCTTTATATCCCCCTCCCGCAATCTCAGCTCCCCATTATCACCCCCCCCCCCATTCACATCCCCCCAATCTCAGGCTTCCCTTTATATCCCCATCCGCAATCTCAGCTCCCCACAATCTCGCCCCCCCCCCCATTATCACCCCCCTAATCCAGGGGTCCCCCCCATATCATCCCCTCCCCAATGCCCCCCCCCCCCCCCCATCCCGACCCCCCCCCCCATTTCCTACCAGCCACGGTCCTGCTGCCGCCCTCCAGGCTGAGACGGGGCCCGGGGGGGGGCCCCAGGGTGCCCCGTAGGGCCCAGGGGGGGCCGGGCTGGGGGGGGGCCCCACATGGCTCCGCCCCCCCCCTTCTTTTACAGCCCCCCCGGGGCCCCCCCACGAGGCCCGGGGGCAGCCGGGGGGGACCCGGCCCCCGGCCGCATCCCCGCACACGCGGGTGCCACGTGCGGCGGCGGCGGCGGCTCACGCACACGGTCCCTATGGGGTGCTTGGGGTCCCTATGGGGTGCACCAGATGCTTGGGGTCCCTATGGGGTGCACCAGGTCCCTATGGGTGCACCAGGTCCCTATGGGATGCTTGGGGTCCCTATGGGGTGCTTGGGGTCCCTATGGGATGCTTGGGGTCCCTATGGGGTGCACCAGGTCCCTATGGGATGCTTGGGGTCCCTATGGGATGCTTGGGGTCCCTATGGTGTGCACCAGGTCCCTATGGGGTGCACCAAGTCCCTATGGATGTGCCTGGCCCCTATGGGATGCTTGCGGTCCCTATGGATGTGCCTGGCCCCTATGGGATGCTTGTGGTCCCTATGGATGTGCCTGGCCCCTATGGGATGCTTGTGGTCCCTATAGTATGTACCTGGTCCCTATGGATGTACCCGGTCCCTATAGGATGTACCCAGTCCCTATAGGATGTACCCGGTCCCTATGGATGTACCCGGTCCCTATAGGATGTACCCAGTCCCTATAGGATGTACCCGGTCCCTATGGATGTACCCGGTCCTATAGGATGTACCCAGTCCCTATAGGATGTACCCGGTCCCTATAGGATGTACCCAGTCCCTATAGGATGTACCCAGTCCCTATAGGATGTACCCGGTCCCTATGGATGTACCCGGTCCCTATAGGATGTACCCAGTCCCTATAGGATGTACCCAGTCCCTATAGGATGTACCCGGTCCCTATGGATGCGCCTGGTCCCTATGGGATGCACCGGGTCTCTATGGGATGTGCACACTCACTGTGGGATGTGCATGCTCTCTATGGGCCCCGCATGGTCTCTATGGGCTTTGCACACTCACAACGGGTCTTGCACGCTCACTATGGGATGTCCCCGGTCCCTATGGGTCCGTCATGGTCTCTATGGGGCTTTGCACACTCACTATGGGCCCTGCATGGTCCCTATGGGCTTTGCACGCTCACTATGGGCCCCTCATGGTCTCTATGGGGCTTTGCACACTCACTATGGGGCCCTGCACGGTCTCTATGGGCCCCGCATGGTCCCTATGGGGCTTTGCACACTCACTACGGGTCTCGCACGCTCACTATGGGATGCACACGCTCACAACGGCCATTGCACGCTCACCACGGGTCTTGCACGCTCGCTATGGGTCCCGCACGGGCCCTATGGGGCTTTGCACACTCACAGCGGCTCTTGCACACTCACTATGGGATGGGCACGGGCCCTATGGGCCTTGCACACTCACCACGGGCTCTGCACACGTCCCCTGCACCCCCAAACGCTTGTGGCCCCCCCCCCAAGCCCTTGCACGCTCGGTACCGGCCGCGCACGCTCAATGTCACCCCAAACGCTTGCACACTCACACCCCCCCCCCCTTGCACACTCAGCCTCGCACCCGTTTCACCCCGCTCCACACCGTTTCAGCCCCGTTTCACGCCCGTTCCGGACCCGCTCCACACCGTTTCGGACACGTTCAGCACCGTTTCACGCCGTTTCAGACCCGTTTCATGCCGTTTCCAGACCCGTTTCACGCCATTCCAGACCCGTTTCACGCCGTTTCAGACCCGTTCACACCCGTTTCACACCGTTCCACGCCGTTTCTGACCCGTTCCGCACCGTTTCAGACCCGTTTCACGCCGTTCCAGACCCGTTTCACGCCGGTTCCAGACCCGTTCACACCGTTTCAAACCCGTTTCACGCCGTTCCACACCGTTTCAAACCCGTTTCACTCCGTTCCACACCGTTTCAGACCCCGTTCCACACCGTTTCAAGCCGTTTCAGACCCGTTCCACACCGTTTCAGACCCGTTCCACGCCGTTTCAGACCCGTTCCACACCGTTTCAGACCCGTTCCACACCGTTTCAAGCCGTTTCAGACCCGTTCCACACCGTTTCAAGCCGTTTCAGACCCGTTCCACACCGTTTCACGCCGTTTCAGACCCGTTCCACACCGTTTCAGACCCGTTCCACACCGTTTCAGACCCGTTCCACACCGTTTCAGACCCGTTCCACACCCGTTCCACACCGTTCCAGACCCGTTTCACGCCGTTCCACACTCACCCTCCCGCCGCCACCGCCCCGCGCGCTCACGCTCCGCCCCCGCCGCGCGCGCCCCGCTGGCCCCGCCCCCTTCTCACTTCCCCCCCCCCCCCCCGCTTCGGGTGCGCGCGGCGCCGCCCCGGACTTAGGGGGGAGGATGGGGGGGGGGGGGGGAAGAATGGGGAGGGGGCGGGGCGATGGTTGCCAAGGGAAACGGTGGCCACGCCCCCTCCTCCCCCCCCA